AACCGTAATAAATTATAATAATGAAAAGAAATCCCGAAACGTAATTAATTATGATAAAAAGAAATCTCCAATCCTAATTATCTGGAACCACTTAACTTATACATCACAATGTTTTTCCTAGAAATCCCTGAATCAGTCTTAGACAGAGGTAGTTTTGGTTTAAACCTACAGCCAAATGAAGTCATTTTAATGTCTTTAAAATATTTCCACCAACTCAGTTCATAGTGCCACATAATCTTCCAACATAACACTTAACTCAGATTTGGCCACAGTGGCATGAAAAGGACGGAATTGAACATGTTTAATAAAAGGGTTTACTAAAGTTATAGAAAAGACATAAAAAAATGGGAAACTGCAGAGGAGAAAAAGAGTAGATTCTTTTGCCACATTATGTGAATTTGATGTCAGAAGGGATGTAATTGACACAAATTTAACAGATAGGATGTAATTGATAGAATAGAGACACTTTTAACATGGACAATAAGTAAGCATTTGAACCAAAAGATCTTATCACTGTTGTAAAACAATAGTTTTATATAAGAAAAACTTTATTGTGTTACCTGCAAAAGAACTTCATGTAGTCGCGCAGTAGTAGTATGTATGGTTATTGTAGGTGAACCACAATGATGACATACTTAACAAAACAGGCAATGTCTAAGAAAAACTGTACTTATTGTTGTTGTGCTATTCCATTTTGGATTGTAAGATAATACCGCCCGTAGGTTGTAATGGAGTAGAGGCAAAGATAGTGCAAGCTATCCGACGTCGTTCGGAGAACGTGTACTCTTCTTGATCTTTGAAGTAGTTTAAATTGGCATAGAAAATACTGTTGTTGTAAATGTGAAAGTTGGTTGGGATGGTGTATGAAACATGTTAAGAGATGGGAATGAAAGATGGATTGAACTTAAAACTGTAGTCATTAGCTGTAGTCATGCACCGTATATGTGTAGACATGTAAGATTTTGTGAAATATCCAAAAAACATTGGGTAAAACTAAGAGTAAATTGTAACGAAATCGAAATGACCTGAAAATTGGTACCAAAGACCATAAAATCGTGCTAAATCAGCACAAAAAATTTCAACTCAAAATTCTAAGAGGAAGTATTTTAAATATTTTTGCAAACATTGGAATAAATTTGGGAAAAAAGAAAACAATTTCACAAAAAGTATAAAACGACGTTTTTTGGCATTTCCAGAAGCCGGAGCCGGCTCCGCTGGCTCTCACGGCATGGGAAATTTTTTTCTACCCCAAATGCATATACGATAATTGT